TATATATGCAATGATGGATCAGCGTTACTGCAGCTAATTGCTAGCACAATTGCTTCTAAATTATATAAATGCCTCATCAGTTTGACTGGGCCTTGATTAGTAAAACCTGATAGAAAGCCTTTAAAATTACTTTTCATATCATAAATCCTTAAAACGTCTAAATTGGAAAATGAAGTGTGGTAAAAAAAAACAAAAAAAAAACAACATAACTGTTTCATCAGCAATTAATGTTATCAGCAATAACATTTCACATATTTGTCTTTCATACAACTGAAAATGTGTGAAATCACAATGTGGTAAAAAATAAATCTTTAAATATAGCTGCAAGCACAAAGAAGGCACAATAAGTCATGCAAAAAATGGTGGGCCAACAGACCAACTGCAACAATTAACAATTAAAAGCCTGTTAAGATTATTTTAGGCAAAATGCCTAAAAAAATTATAATAATTATATATCACTTTCGACCAATAGATGGCACTGTTACGAATCTGATGTGATGTGGTCAGAGTAAAGCCCAATTTATACTTCTAACTCACGCCGTAGCTACGTTGTAGGCTGTGTGTACCCTTCGGCGTACCCTGACGTGCACCTCTCCAAAAATGTAACAACATGTCAATTCTACGCGGACGCAAGCGCTGTGATTGGTCTGCTAGAAACCCTCCCTTGGTTTCACATGCTTCCTCTGCATGTGTAATTGCGCGTCAACGCGGACAACACGCAGAAGTATAAATAAAAACCAACACATAGTCTATAGCGTAGAGGCTCCGGCGTAGGTCCGACGCAGAAGTATAAATCAGCCTTAAGGTGACAATGATAGGCTACATACAAAGTTTTCTGGGTCTATCTAGATTGCACTGACATACATACTTATGGAATACATGATTTTGTGAGATTACTGTAAGGTTTTATCTTTGTTTAGGGTGAACCAGAGATGTAAATGATTTAGCCTATGTCATGTAACTCCTACTCAGTACGTGTTTTTGGACACATAGCCTTTTTTGCTAAAACACAGACTTGACATTCAATGTAAAAGTTATTGCACCCAAAAGTAACTTAAATTGGAGTTGTATAACTTTGATCATAAACAGCGAGGCAGTCACTGTGTTCTCAAGCAAGAAATCTAACAAAACTGTCTTAAATTCCGTCCCACCAACTGAGCATTATGTCCATGACGGTGGCTCCCTGGTTCACCACTTGGCATGGAAAAAGGGTGACAGTTACGGTGCCATTGCACAGTCATATGCAGACTTTACCATACGCCACTATGGTAAAGCAACAGTCGTTTTTGATGGTGATAGCGAAGGTCCTTCAATCAAAGACAATATGCATCAGAGATGTGGTGAAAACACTCACCCCATCGTTAACTTCAATGCAGAGACTGAGTTTGTGGGAAGAAAGGATGATTTCCTTTCCAGATCTTGCAACAAACAAGGACTTATCAATCTTATAACCGAGGAGCTGGAGAAGAAGGGCTGCACTGTTATCAATGCATCAGGTGATGCAGACGTGGACAATTGTCAAAGCTGCAGTCAAGGCCACAGAACATCAGCCCACAACCTTGATAGGGGAGGATACAGACTTACTCATTCTTCTCCTCTATGCTGGGACGAACAATAGAGGCCTCTATTTTCGTTCAGACAAGTCCAAAGCTACTAAACTGTTCAACATCGGTGAGATGAAACAAGTCCTGGGTAGTGGACTTGTGCTCCCAGTTGCTGTTTATTCACGCCTTCACAGGAAGTGATACAACTTCACATATTTTTAGTTTTGGCAAACAGACAGCATTCCAGAAACTTGTGAATGGTGAATCAACCATCCAGTCCTGTGCAAATGTGTTTCTTCTCCCACATCAAGCAAGGAATATCATAGAGGACCATGGGACCAAGGCAATGGCAGTGTTGTTTGGCGTAAAGAGTACCGATTCACTTGCCTCTTTGCGCTACAACCTTTTTAGCAAGAAAATCGTTACCGCAAAATCATTTGTTACCCCAGAACGTCTGCCTCCAACTGAGTCCTCAACCAAATACCACTGCCAAAGAGTTTACTTCCAGATAATGGTGTGGATTGGAAAGGAAGGTGACATGAACACAGTGGATTGGGGATGGAAACTGGTGGACAACCTGCTCCTGCCAGTTCTGACCAGTAAGACTGCTGCCCCAGAAAGCCTCCTGCAGATGATCCACTGTAATTGCACAACTGCCTGCCGAAACACAATGGTGCAGTTGCAGGGCATATGGACTACCATGCATACCTGCTTGTGGACCATGTCAAGTTGGGAATTGTGAGAATCACTATAATCAACCTCTATGGGAGGAAGAGTGTGACGACTAATGGTAAATCTAGTGAAGGTCACAGTGCAAAAAAGTAAACCAGAATAAGAGGAAATAACTGAAGAACATAGAAAAAGATATGTATAAATAAGAAAAGTATTAAACAATAAATAAGAAAAGTATTAAACAATATATAAAAAACAAAAGGCAAAAAAAAAAAACGCATTATAATTTTTTTTTTAAATAAATAAAAAAATAAATAAAAGGAGTTAGCGGTACTGAGCCTTCACGTGGCAGCCCTGTTTTGACAAATTTTACATTACCACACAGTTCTAATGAATTTATTATTTATTGGAATCAAAAGAATGGTTATGAACCACAGAAACCACCAACACTAGGCAAAATGATATGAGAAAGGAGAAATATGCAATTAAGGGAAATTGTACTTGCAAACCGTCCCAGTGCATGCTAAAGGGGCCAACACGACAACATCATCCGCAAAGAGCAGAGATGAAATCGTGTGGTCCCCAAACCTGACACCCTCCGGCCCCTGGCTGCGGCCCCCAAGTTGTTTGGGACGGTTTGCAGCCGAGTGTGAAGCGGCTGGGATGAGAATCAGCACCTCCAAATCCGAGGCCATGGTCCTCAGTCGGAAAAGGGTGGCTTGCCCACTTCAGGTTGGTGGAGAGTTCCTGCCTCAAGTAGAGGAGTTTAAGTATCTTGGGGTTTGTTCATGAGCGAGGGAAGGATGGAACAGGAGTTTGACAGACGGATCGGTGCAGCTTCTGCAGTAATGTGGTCGATGTACCGGTCTGTCGTGGTGAAGAAAGAGCTGAGCCACAAGGCGAAGCTCTCGATTTACCGGTCAATCTACGTTCCTACTCTCACCTATGGTCATGAGCTTTGGGTCATGACCGAAAGGACAAGATCCCGGATACAGGTGGCCGAAATGAGCTTTCTACACAGGGTGGCTGGGCGATCCCTTAGAGATAGGGTGAGAAGCTCGGTCACTCGGGAGGAGCTCAGAGTAGAGCCACTGCTCCTCCACATCGAGAGGGGTCAGCTGAGGTGGCTCGGGCATCTGTTCCGGATGCCTCCTGGACTCCTTCCCGGGAAGGTGTTCCGGGCGCGTCCCACTGGGAGGAGACCCCGGGGAAGACCTAGGACACCCCCGGAAGAGCTGGAGGAAGTGTCTAGGGAGAGGGAAGTCTGGGCATCTCTGCTTAGACTGCTGCCCCCGCGACCCGGCCCCGGATAAGCGGAAGAAGATGGATGGAAATTGTACTTACTTTCGCATAAATATGCTTGTAACCAATTGCTTTAATATATAATTGTACATGTAATCACTTATCTATCATGCAAATATGCTAATTAGAATATTACATGGCCAAAACAGGCACCAGTATTCCTGGTCTAGGAGGAATACAAAGGACCTGACGGACGCCATGTTGAAAATGGGGCCTTTCTTGGAGTCAAACTTTGGTAAACTTTTAGTATGTTTTTTAAGTACATATGATACTACTATAAACTACTGAGAAACCTTTTGTTAATTTTTTTTGGGGGTCAAGCCATATTTGCTTTGTTGATGTAGTATACGAAAATAGTTTTGTCTATTGACTTGAAATCCTTACCTTTTTGCTGGCACAAAAGAAGATGGTCTGACTCAAATTTGGTGAAATTGGACAAATGGTCTAAGAGGAGTTTGAAAAAGTAGGTTTTGAAACAAAATACAAATGGCGGACAGGAACTTTGGTCAAAAATAGCAAAATCGGTATCTATGTTCTCGGCATGACCCAATGAATCTATTAAGACCGGCTTCATTACAATAGGCTATTTTAATCAAAAGTTATTAGCATTTTTGGAAATTTCATTATAACGTTTGACCACATGGTTGCGCTGCCCCAAATGATACGCCAATGCGTTCGTAAAATATATTTTTTTTCCCAAAATTCAAAATGCCCCTCATCGTTCGGGTATCGTTCGAATCAAAAGAGACTAGTTTTGTGATTTTTTGCCAAACCGTTCAGAGGTTATGTTACAAGCAAAAAAAAGTTAATTACTACAAGGTGGCACTGCACCGAAACTGTACTGGTAGCCTCAGGTCAATGATTCGTCTTGAGCCACAGAATCAGAGGGGGAAATAATTTTGTTTCTATCCCTTACAGTTCAAAAGTTATTAGCATGAACATGAGTGCAACTTTGGACAGTTGGTGGCACTATCAGGGATTCAGTTATAGACTCCAAATTTGCTATGGTGACAGTTCAGACTGTCCTCTATCTGTGTACCAAATTTCATAACTTTCCTGCAAGCGGTTCTATGGGCACACCATAGACCTCCAGAGTGGAAGAAGGAACGGAAAAAGAATAATAATAATAGGAAAGCCAACGATTTCAATAGGTGCTTTCGCACCTTCGGTGCCTGGCTCCTAATAAATAAAAGCTTTCATTTTAAATGTATTTGAGGCAGTTTGTATAATAGCCTACATAATGTATAAATAATTTAATATTAAACTTATTTGTAGTTCCTAAGTGAAAATAGCTGGTATATCTACAAGAACTACTATCTACAAGTTCTAAAAAAAGAACTTGCACATATTTGTTATATACTTTGTGTTTTGACTGGAAGGATACATGAAGAGAGAAAAAGTAGTATATATTTTTAAATACTCAAATGTGAATGGATTGCCACCTAGTGGAGGGGTTTGGATGTTTAGGATTGAAAACAAGACTTCTTACTGTAGTCTTTATTTCATTACTTTATTTAAGACAATTTACAAAGAGACAATGAAAGATTATACCATTTTCTAAATATATTCCACTTTGTAAAGAATCAAGTGAATGCTGATGGCATACAATATCATTGACAATGTAACAAATGTAAAAAAATGTCCACTAATCCACTATTTACAATTTATGTCCATTTTCCATCTTCCACATACATGTTCCTCTATATTACAAAAACAACTGTGTGAAAGGCATGAGTATCTGTATATGTCTGAAATCATCAAATGCATCAAACACACAAGTTGCACATAAGAAACAATGAAGTGCATCAATTAAAACCACAAGAACAAGTTGTTTGGTCCTTTGAATTGGAATGAAGCACATGGATTTTATTGTTTGTTTGGTCATCAAGTTTTCGTTTCAGATCTTGTACCGTAGGACTGCCTTGGGGTGCATCCAAAATCACTAACTGCTGAAGTCGAGGCAGATGGTGAAGCTGAAGAAACACTGATGCTGGAACATTTTGGTGTCTGAAAGAGAGAAGTTATTTAGAATGAAATTTAACCAAGGTCAGATATGAACAAAAAGCAGCATGTTTACTTATTCTGAAATTATATAGTTCATGACTAAGAACTCTCACCTCACTTTTAGGACCTGCAAATTTGGGAACATCTGAGGAATTTCTTTGATTATATTGCAGATGTCGTGACAACACAAGTCCAAGTGGAGGTGAAGGAGATCTGGCACCTGCTCTGCCATGATCCTGACTGCCTTCAAATCTGCCCTCACTCCCATGAGAGACAAATGCCGCACAGTCCTGGGTATTGATTTAGCATAGAATCCGAGCGGGTATCCTACTAGAAAATACAAAAGAAATAACAAAAATGTAGAGGGATTTATTGTATAATCAAACTGCAAAATCAAGATCAAGTGCTCTTATGTTCTTCCTTAACCCATACTTGTTTAATGATCCAAATTTTCTGAAACACAAACTAGGGCTGTCAATAGATTAAAATCAATATAAAATAATAATAAAAATGTAATAATTATTGATAGTAAAATATATTGTAACTACATTTATTACTACTACTACTAATAATAGTAGCAATAATTATTATTAATACTAATCATTATTGTGATATTTTGTTCATGAACCTATGGGTGCCAATGAAAATGAAAACTTGGCTGTGTTGACTTTGTAGTTTTCTGTCAAGTAAGCAATATGCTGCAAGTTTCTGGTTGCATTTTAATCGTTAAATTATTTTACAAGTATCTTATTTGTCTCATTTGTAACTTCCGGTTGAAGCCCGTTTTCTATCGAATCTGCGAAGGTAAAAATTAAAGATATATAACCCGTGTTTATGCATTATTTCATACTTACAAGAAATATTGAGCTCTGAGAGTACACGAAGCCCTTGCAACCATTTTGTGAGACGGCAAAGGGTTGGATCATCACACCATTGTTTATAATGCACCGTCAGTTTAGTAAGGGAGGACAGGGCGTCAAAGGCAACAGGGGAGAGGCAGGGGTCATAACAGTTCAGCAGCTCCAGACTGCTCAGCCCGAACTCTGAATCCGGACTAACTCCTGTGTGAAAGACAAGTGTGAAAATATACTCTTTCCTTCATTTTGTTTTCTTTATGAAGCATACATTACATACCAGGACGCCCACATGCTTTAGTTGGACACAAATAATCATCTGGAAGAATCCCATACTTTGGTCCCAATCTCAAGGAAAGGTGTTTCAATTTGGGCAGACGCCTCAACATGCCATGAAGGACAGGTTTAAAGATAGGATTTTTATCTTCATGGTAGTGTAGTGAGGTAAGCTTGACAAGTTGCGAAGTAGCAGCACTTATCTCCGATACTGAAGCTTTCTGGACCTCACACAAGCAGAGATGAGTCAGTTGTCTCAAAGATAAAAGTGAGCTAGTCAGACTCCGACAGCAACATTGACGGATGACAAGCTTCTCGAGTTGTTTTAAAGCACCCAACTCTGCCAGAGCTTTGCCATCACTGCACTGAGCCAGAGTCACGGAACTGATCCACGGAAGCGCAGTCACAATATGTCGCAATCCTTTTGCATTTGCCTTTTGAACAACAATGGACTTGGTTTTTCTTTGGCGCAGAGTTTTCCAAAAATGTGAGTCGTAGAGTTCGAACTTTTGGAGGACAACAACGCTGCCTTTCCATAAGGTCCAATGATCGATCAGTCTTTTAAAGTACGTGCAGGTTAAACGAACACTCAATTTGTCACGAACAGAGAAAAATCCAAAAACGTGGATCCAGATCTCATCCGTTAGTTGAGGAGCGGACATCGTCTCCTTTAACGTTATCCTCACATGTATTTCCTAAATTTTCATTCTTATACACGAATCATTTTGTATTCACTCCGAGTCTCCGACACGTGGTGCATGCGTAGTTCTTCTTCTTCTTCTTCTTCTTCTTGTTGTTTAATGGCGATTAACTCCTAAGGAGCATTATCGCCACCTACTGTGCTGGATGGAAAATTAACCTTGGGTGATCTTCTTCTTCTATTCGAGTTTTATGGCGGTTGGCACACAATGAAATGGTGCATGCATGCGTAGTTCTTTTGAGTCGGATCTTTTTGATTAATCAATTGAACCGGTTCACAAAACCAGTCTGAACGATTTGTTCACGACTCCGGAAGTGGGAAGTACACCTGCTATAAAACTTTTTTACTCCACTTTTAGGGCATAGTAGAAGTAGGTGAATTGGGACACAGCAACTGTCCGTATTTGCAAAATTGGTTAAAATAAATTCAAAGTGTATAATGTGACACCCTATGTCTGACATTTTAAGCCTTTTTGGCATTACAGTCACTGTACACTTTGTTACATTATGGTCTTTAAATAAAAAGCCACCCATTTTAATTGTAATACGGTTTAATTCTAATGCAATTTGTGTAGGTTCAATGATTTTGTTTTATAAGCCGGATGTCTCAAACTTTACTGGTAAACATTACAATAAACGCCATAATTAATCAATCCTAATCTGAAAACGTAGTGAACAGTAAAATGCAATGCAATGCCATGCGTTTTGAGGTAAAAGAACCACATTACTGTTTTTGGCCATTTTTTTTTAAACTAACTCTTTGAAAGAACCATCGGAAAGAACCGACTCGCTTAAATGAATCACTCACTTCCTAGCAGCATTGACGGAAGTGACGCAGTGGTTGCGCGACGCGAGACGTTAGCCGCGCTTATCCGGGAAAATTCAAACGAGTTTTTATGGTGAGTTTTTTTTCTTTTTGTTGTTGTTGTAGTAACTTTTAAATGGATGCCATAATGTTATTCACTCAACTATATATTAAGTTAGATATTTGTTTCGCTCACTGATATGTAATCGAGCGTTTTGCATTATTTTGTTGACGGATAATGTGCACGGTTTTTTTCTTTCTTTCTAGCTTTAGTATTTTACAGCCAGAAGCAAGCTTTGAAATCGTTGGGTTTAGAGACGTGTTTAAAGTATAATTCCATTAAGATGTTTATTCATTTTTAATGTTATTTTATAACTGATGTTGCGTGTCATATTACAAATATGTGACTAATTCTTCATGGAAGTGTCCAATTTGATAGACACTGGATTTTTTTTGTTGTTGTTGCTAATTTTCTTTGCATCGTATAGGATTTTTGCTGAAAACATGGACCACAACGGGTCTGTAAACAGTTAGACTATCTTTCCTCTTGCTTAACAATGTATTATCAACAACTACAAGACTATTTCATAGCTCCTGAAGTCCCTAAGCCTGTTGACATGATCACACCTGTCAAAACCATACCTAAAACAGCTCACAATTGGGCCGCTGGGTCAGGCAGAAAGAATTCAAACAGAGACGTGTTGGTGATGAACTCCACTGCACAGAGTGCTGAAGAAAACAGCCCAAATATCCCCTGCGAGCTCAGCAGTATCAATGCCACGGCAGAGGTTGTAACCCCTCAAGACAAAGCTAACCTGATGCTGAAGAGGGGTACTGAGACGCCAGCAAAGATTTTTGCGAGAATGAAGGCAAAAGTTCAGAGACAAAATTCTACTGGGCATGGGGCAGCCTCTGATCATGTAAGAAACCAGGATATCTGTGGTGAAATGCCTTCGAACCCTGTGATCCAGTACTCACAAAAGAGAAACGCCAACCAGGAGACATATGTGTTAGCGCTCTCACCTCCACAGTCGCCAAGAGGAGATGCACAGGCTGGAGAAATGGACTTGCCACAGGAAAGTCATTCCATTAATGTTCATAAAGTTCCTGGAAGAAAAAATGAAACATTTAATACTGAGTCACGGTCATTTATTGGTTAGTTCTTTTTTCTTTTTTTCTTTTTTTTTCAGATGTCGTACATATTGCTGTAATTGAATTATTTTAATTTCACTTTTCCTTTTATTATTTGTGTCTAGAGCCATGTGTTTTACTGGAGAAGATGCCTGGGGAGATGTTCTCCGAGATGAAAGCAAGGCTAAAGCAAATGCCAGAGAATCTGAACAGAAACAGACGTATGATTTTTATATACGCGTGTATGTGTATGTGTATATATATATATATATATATTATTTAACAAAAAATTGCTTTTTGCAATTGCTGTTCTCTGATGTTTCGGCACAGTTGTATTCACTGGGACTCAATGAATTTATAAAATCTGTTTTGTTTTGTTTACTCAAGAGCCTTGTGTGCTGTTGGACAAGGTGGTTCCTGATGAGACATTAGCCCAGCTTCAGCAGAAACCCATCAATTATCTAAGTGGAAATAGAGGTATTATGTTTCATTTTATCCTGCATTACTCATAAAACTACAGTAGTTTAGAATGATGTATGTGTCTGGATATGAATCTCTTTTTTCACAAACATAAACTGATATAAAGCTTTGTTTTTGATTACCAGTTGTGAGTGTGTTTATTAATCTTTATTTTTTTTTTTTTTTTTTTGTGCACTGGAAGCATCTCCTTTCACCAAGACAAATTCCTTGTGTGTGTAAATCTATTTGATAATAGATCTGATTCAGATTTTTACAGAACACTGGGTTATAGACATAGACCTACTCTAATCTGATTAAGAATGCAAAAGTAACTCATGCAAAGAGTAATATGACACTGATCATAATAGATTTGCTCTGAAATTTGATTGCAGGTGGTTGTGTTGTATTTCGTGAGAAGAGCATTTGTGTAGAAAAAGACAACGAGGAAGACCTCCATAATGACACGTCCAGTAGTCCTGAGTCTGGTCCGTTTGATCAGTTGGAGTGCACAGAAGTTGTCCCTGGACCCCCTCAGCCCTCTCATAATCTTCTGGAAGATCCTCTCCTGCAGCTTTCTCCTCGCGTCTTGATCCCACGAAAGCAAGTGTCTGTGTTTCAGTCAAAACAACAAGCAAGACAAGCAGCCATAGCGCTAGATGAAGGAACCAATGTAAGTTAAGGAAATTATCATTGTTTCTTAGTGGTTTTTAAGATAATTTACGAAATGAAATGCAAAAAAAGTTTTGTATTTTGTAATGGCGACATTGTACTTGTCTTTTAGGTGAGGGGGATTCATTTAAGAGAATGGGTTTTGAAACTGCTCAACAAAGACCTTGTGGTTGATGGTATTCGCGTGTAAGATATTTGCTTTTTACTTAGTTTTTTTTCTTTTTCATTTTGTTTGATTGTGCTTTTGGTAAATCTTGATGACTTGTCATATTGTCTGTGTGCTACATTATACATGCATGTAAATTTTATTATATTACAGCATTATACTTTTCTTTATTACACAAAAATGTTTTTTTTTTACAAACCCATTGCAAAGATTAGCTGAATGATTTCAGATATCATGTAGCTCTAATGTGGTTTTGTTTGATAAATACAGAGACACTATGATACCTTGGCACAGCAGTTTAATCACTGAAAGAGTCTCAAGTAATGTGCTCAAGACCTCATCTGGCAGAACCTATGTGCTCATTGGCAAAATGGCCAAACATCCCAATTCATGTAAGAAAAATGCTTTTTAAATGAGGTTGCCTTTGTTTTTACTTCATTTAACAATTTTGTTTTTACCATTACAGCATTTCCATCATGGTTTTTGAAGAAGTTTCTGTTTGGCTTTCCAAATATGTGGAAAGAGTACCTGGATCAGTTTTTGAGTGGTCATATGGGGTATGTTGCCTCAACTCTGTTATTACGTTATGTATCATCAAATAACAAAAAAGAGACCATACATTTCATTAAATGATTTTACCTAATTTTGATTTAGATCACAGAAAGGTCAGAAGGATGACAGCAGTGCAAAACCTCCCAAAGGAAGAAATCAACAGGCTTCTAAAAACTCAACATCCAAACATCCCAAGATTCAAGGCATTACAACCTGTGAGTATATCATATGTCATATGAGCAAAGAATGGCCTGTATAGTGATGTCTAATGTGAGTGCGTATTGTTGTTTTGAGTGACTTCTTTTTGAAGAATCAGGTTAAATGGGTTCACAAATCAATCTGAATCATTTGTTACTGAATCGATCGAAAATAATTGATTCATTTAATGTCTAGCTGCGTTTATATTTTTATTAGCGTCTGGATCAAGAATGTTTGTAATCCCAATTCAAATAATTTAGTTTAAACTCTGGCCATCCTCATAGGTTTGTAAAGGTTGCAATTTTTTGTGTTATTCAGCTCCCATCACACCCACTGACAGCATTCAGCCGGGCAGTGCAAAAGTTTCCCGTAGTGGCCGACTCATCAAACCGCCATTGGAATACTGGAAAGGAGGGAGGATTGTTATGGACTCTGACATGAATGTCACTATCCATGAAGACTATTCTACCTCACTGCTGTCCACGGTACTCTTATCATTTTATTTAGCAGTGTCAATGTCTTTTGATCTCTAGTGACATTCACAGGGACTTTATATATTGTTATGGTGCAAGTGGGCCATTTCTTAAATATGATGTTCTTTTTCTTTCCAGCCAAAGAAGCCAGTAACTTTGGCAACATCACTAATCACACAGGAACAATCATTCAGGCCTGAAACTCGAGGAAGAGGTGTGTATTGATAACACGCTTGTATTTATAAAGTGCATTTGCTTTTTTTTATTGCAAATTCTCAATTTATTTGTTTTACAAAAGGGAAATGTAACACATCTAGCAGTGAAGATGACCTGTCAATGCCAATGAGGAGGATCAAACAGCATTCCAAGCCCCAAAGGAATGCCCTATCTCAAAGCAATCAAATAGAGAGCACCTCACTGAATAAACCTACAAGAGCTCAGAAAGAACCCCTGGTTGTGGCCCCCAGCTCGAATTCGGGTCATGCGGTGAAACAAAAAGCTAGTCGACCTCAAAGAGCCTCTCTGAGAAAACAACAGTTTGGAGGAGAGAAAGCTGCTGTGGGTTCTGGAGCAGAAATGACAGAGA